ATGCCTAATCATTTAAGGCGAGAAATTGGAAAAGTTCACTCTCTAATATAATCTCTAATAACAGCTAACATTAACTGATATCTCAAAGTCAATCCCTATATAATTTGTTATTTTTTTTCACATTTTTGAGCGTCTTCCTTAGCCACTGATGAGTTCAAAGACGGTATACTCAATATCATCTTCATAAGACGAGAAGGAAGTAAAGTACATATGTAATATTGAGGCAAGCTTACCTGCAAGTTCTTTCTCTTGATTTTGTTCACATTGTCCGAGACAACATCAAATTCATCATTGATTTCGGCCTTAAATTCAGGTATAAAATTCCCATAAGTAACTTGAGATTTAGATTTGAATCACCTGCAAGATTTCTTCAACAATATCTTCTAGGGTTACCACACCCACAAGTTCATAAGTAGGATCATGTTCTTCGTCCTCGTTGAGCTTTTTAACCATAGCCAAATGGCCTTCACCCTTAAAGAATCCTTCCTAATTAATACACCAGTTTAGCACTGGTCCCCAACATGCTATGGAAACTAGTGCTTAGATTGCATGCACTAAACATACCTTCTTAAACGCCTCCAGAAGAATACTCAATGGCGTGTCGTTGAAAACAAATTTCACAGGATGTTTATGATAACCGCACACAGTTTTTACAGTGAAATTATCGTCCGGATCGAGAAGGGCAAGATCCTTGAATAAGGGTGAGTTAGGGGTACCACACACACACATAAGCAGACGTATAAGGGAAGGTTAATTGGTAATGATTATGCATTTTACCTTGACAAAGAGAATATCAGTAACATTGTTCTTGTCACCATCAGAATAAACAGGGATTCTGGTGTAACCCATCCTGACAATTTCAGCTACCGTCTTGGTGTTAAGTATAGTTGTGTCCGGGATCATAAACACATCCTGGAATTTGAAAAAAAATAAATTCAATTAGCAATTCCGTACTTTTTTTCAAACGGAACGCTATTTATAGGTTATCTGGAAAATGAACGAGTATACTTCTTATTTCAAGCTGAAATGATTTTCCAATCACTGTTAAGATTTGGCCAAAAAATAACGGGAATCGCTTTTCAAATTTCTCCATTACTATTTTATGGAAATTTAGCATGAAATAGTCCCAACAAAAAATTTTTGATTGAAATAAAAAAATTTACTGCACTTAGGTGCATTCATCCAAGTTATCTAATAATATTTTAGATAAACATGGAAAATTTACCGCCAACTTTGTCATGACATCCTCAACCACTTTATCAACTATTTCCATAGCACCAACTGCAATCTTCAATTCATTTGACACCTGACCGTTATCGTCCTTGATTGACATGCGAATTAGCTCCATCAAGCGTTTCCGGTCATATGCTTGCTAGATTAATTTCAAAATTAGGAGAAAAAAACACATGGAAATTTGTTAACGCAAAAAAAAAATTATACAGTGCAGAAACGATGAGGAAAGGTAGAACTCACATACTCATCGCCAAGCAGGCAATCCAGTAACTTGCTGACAGGCCATGCTATCGGATAAGTAATGAATATGAAGATTTGCGTGATCATTATTGTATGTGCACCAACCGCCAAGCCCTTTCTGAAAAAAGGTGAAAGGTCTTACTCATTAATTACAGGGAAATTTAGAAAATCTATCCAAATCTGACTAGTCATCTTGATCATTTGGAATAGTAAGGAAAAAATTGGAAAAAAAAATCAAACTTCCTATTCTAATGAATGATAATTTTTTTAAAACAAAAACCTGTAAGAA